CCTCTACCCAACAGCATTAGCAAAAAATAAAAAAATAAAAGCCAGACCTCTAAGTACCAACCTCTTCAGGAGCCTATGATATAAGCCCCCTCAAATCCCTAAATCTCTCACCACATTAATCAATTCAGAACTCTTCTGACTGCTTCCAGAAAATTATCAGAATCATTCCAGCTACAAGAAAAGTAAAACTCTTCAGAAACGCAACACATATTGGCCTCAACTGAAGTTTGCAACAATCTACTTTGGGGCTGTTGGATCTCATTTTTTTGACAATCTTGTGCTTCTCCAAATCCATCACCATGTCTCATGTCCCATATACCTTTTGTTATCACCCATCTATCCGCCCTTTATCTTTTTCCTATGTCATCATTCCCGTACCATCCTGTGCTTCCACTTTCCAAATTACCCTTCAACAGCACCTCTTCTTCTCAAACCTTTGTATGTGCTCTTTGGGAGTCAGATTTCAAATATAGTAAGTCCATCTGTATCTTCATATTCCTCAACAATAATGCCCTCTATTTTTTATGCCTTAACTGCAGTTCCCCACTCTTCAACTCCATCCCTTCTCTTTATAAACTTCAAGACTTTTATTAGGTGTTACATAAGGTTAGTTTACACGGTATGTTGCTGTCATCTATTTCATTTATTATAATATTTAATTAGCATAGCTAATAAATCAAATGGGTACTGTTTTCAAAGTAATATTTGGCAACAGTTTTAAAAGAACACCAGTGACAACTCCTGTCTTGTAATGTACTGCATAGATTTAGTTCTATAATTTAACAGGCACTAAACACAGTACACATACTATTTAACCTTCTCAAAAATGTAAGTTTTCTCCATTCCCAAAATGTGGGGTTTTTTCAAAACTCCCTGATTTACAAGGCAAGTAATCTACTTTAGTTTTTATTTATACATAGAAATGAATCAAACCATACAGATAAGACAGCAACAACAAATTTCCTAACACACAATCTATAAGAAACACTAACACAAAAGAAGTCTATAAATATAATCAGCTATAACCAAATATTTGGGCAAATATCCAACCAAAAAATTCACAGTAAAAGAGAACAGAGAGTCTCAGGAGTCTAGTTTTGAAATGTGCTCCCTCTCCCCTGTTGTCATACAGGGACCAAACACTTTTGCTGGTAGTTGACAGGCAGGCTCATCGCCATGAGGGACAGACACACAATAGTAGTTGTGTTCTACCTCACAAATGACTACACTTCATTGAGTTTATGCTCAGTGGGGCAGTGTTTGCAAACCACTTAGATTCCAGTACAGAAAGAGCTACAAAAATGAAACATCCAGTCCTTCTCTGAGGTTTGTTATTAGCCTGTGTTAGCCACAGGTTACAGGGCACTAAACACTATGTACTGTGTGTTTGCTCCTAACCACTATGAAAAATAGCCTATAACATCTTTCTAAAGACTCCTAGAAATTTTTAAGTTAATTTAAAATCTGGGACTTTGGGGCATATTTCAATTCTTAGAATTCGTTCTTGTCAAAATACCTCACTAATTCTTTTTTGGGTGTCAATTCAATTTGGTTTTGACCAACACTTTCAATAGACTATTGCTAAAGTTTAATGTTACTAGGGGAGGGGGAGTGAAGAGGGTAAAATAAATCAGTTTTATTTGGATCAAGTTAATGCTCAACCTACAAATAAGCTTCTTCCTATTTGCTAAGAAATGCTTTTAAAAAACAGATTCACTCGCTTAACAGACCAGACATGCATAAGATAGTTATTTCAATATATAATAGAGAAGCTACAGAACCGAAAACAAAATCCTAAATAACACGTTAAATTGATATCCTCAAACAGCTTGTCTAAACATTACTTGTGAAAGATCTATGCCCGGTAGCATGTGTTGTATCAAAATCCAAAGTACTCAAGAGATAGACAATATAAAGCAACTACAACTCCAGAAGACCTACTTTGAAGAATAACTAGATTTGACCAAATAATGTAAAGCCATGAAGTATACTAAAATGCTATTGGAATGCTTTTTGAAACATTGTTTTTGAAAAATAACACGTTACCTAATTTATGGTAGTGAATAATGAGTCAGAAATCCTCTGGCCTGGACATAAAATGTATATATACTTTAACAAAGGAGACTATTGGTAAATGTACTTTAAAGTGGAATCTCTGGAAAGCAGAAAAAACATACTATATGACCATTGATTTTTGACAATTCATATCATCATCTCAAAATTCCCAGTTTCCTGGGACAATGTCATAGAAACGTTTGTGGCTTTCTCAGAAACGTAGTATCACATTGACGCTTAGTAAAAATTGGGTATATGCTTATAACAGTCACAGAAATTGTAAAGTATAAACAATATAAGGTACTGGTAAAAGAGAAAAAAGTTAACATGTACCTTTAAGATAGAAACCCTATAAGATAAGTTCTAAGAAGGTATATAACATTCCACTTTCTCCCAATAAATAAAGTACCTTAGAAGAGAATGGAAATAGTTTACTAAATTTAAGTACACTCAAAAAATATGAAAATTTCTATAAATTTTCTCATTAATGTTTGCTGATTAGAGGCAGCTATATAATAACAAACTATACTTTGTCAAATTGATTTAAGAAGATGGTTGTACAATACTGTGAATGCACTAAATGCCACTGATTATACACTTTAGAATGGTTAAGTTTTATACAATGTGACTTTCACATCAACATTGATTTTTATATCACAGTAATAAATTTCAAATAATTTAAATAAATTTTTAAATGATTTGAAGTAAGGTAGAATTCATAGAATCCAATTCATGAACTTTGTTCCCTTAATTCTTAAGTGAAGAAAAATGTACTAATTGAATTTTATATTACTTTTTACCATGAAATACATAAAGTCCTCTGTTCTCCACCAACTCTAGCTTTACCTCTAAAATACAAAAAGTTATTCTATTTGACACTAAGAGTCAAATATTATTAGAAGTCAAACTAATCTAATTTTCATTGAAAATTTTTTAAAAATACCATACGTGGCCTTAAAAAGTCATAAGCAAAGAGGAAAGAGGGTTATTTTCAAATTCCACTTTACCAACTACGTGAGTGAAACAAGGATTGTGGCTTCCCACAAACCTCTGTCCAGCAAGTTTTCTTTAGTTTATTATCCACTTTAAACCTGATCAATTTAAAACAGAAAAAAAAATTGAACAACAAAAAAGTCAGACACAAAAATCTGAGATGTATTTCTTAAGAGAAAAATGAATATGCATAAAACATCAAACCATTTGACCACAGACGAAAATGCTAAACATAAGCAGAAAGATTTTACAGGAGACAAAGAATAAAGTGTTTTAAGAGCCGAATCTATATATCAGCAATCCAAAAAAACAAAACTCTGGGCCTTTATACATAACTCAGAACCATATAAGCCAAATTTATCCATCCTTGGATATTTTACAAAATAAGTACAAATCTATTTTCCATCTAAAGTTAAAGCAATGGTATTTGATAAGAATCAAACTTTGTACAGCAGCGTGCTCAATACTGTATATCTCCATTCTATACATTCACTTATTATGAGCAACAGAGTTCCACATAGCAACGTTATACTTCTCCCACTTGAGACCAAACTCCAAGGAACTAAATGAAGATTCTGAGTATTATCCTTATAATGCCTGATGATATAGAAGAAACACACTAAACAAAAGTAGAAGAAAAAGCAAAAACAAAAATATAGCACATCAATTACTACAGACAAGGCTCATGTACTTTATCTTCTGCTATTTGCCATATACTTTACTTCCTCAGATGATCGTATTCAATGGCATTACTATATTTCTTCTTCTTTTTTTTTTTTTTTTTTTGAGTTGGAGTCTCACTCTATCGCCCAGACTGGAGTGCAGTGGCCACTCCCAGCCACCACAGCCTCAACCTGCAGTACTCCGGCGTTCTTTCCGCATCAGCCTTCCAAGTAGCTGGAACTACAGGCGCACGCTACCCTGCCCGGCTAATTTTTTTTTATTTATTGTAGAGAAGAGGTCTCGTCAAATTTCCCTGGTGGGTCTCGAACCCGCGGGCTCAGGCAATCCACTCACCTCAGCCTCCCAAATCGCGGGATTACAGGCTAAGCCACGGAGCCCGCCTGGCATTACTATATTTCTAAAGTCTCTGTTATTAAATAAAAAGGAATCTGCCACAGAATTAAAAAGATAATTACTCTTCAATGAACATGTTCAAACAGACAAAAATAATTAGCTTTTTAAAGTATATTAGTACTGTTCATATTTTCTACTTGTATAATAATTTTATTGAAAACTTATAAATTATGTCTATACAAGCTCATGTTGCCAAATAATTTTTATGCAATTATCCAAGTGATTTTTCTTACTCTACATATTTTCTTCTGAAAAATATATCATTATCATATTAACTTGCTATCTGAGTCTCATACTTATAATTAGGCAACTTAGTTATCTGATACAAAAAATTGATATATCTATTAAACCCCAAAAACTATACATATTTAGCAGACCAATACATACCACAAAAATATAGACACAGAGATATGCTTTTTTGTCCTTGCAACTTCAAATAAAATTAAATTTTCTCCTTCTATATTTTTCAGTCAGTTTATATGAAAGTAATATCTATAACCTAATCAGCTACTAAATATCAAATAAATATCAAAGTATCATTTATCACTGCATTTACTCAACTGCTAACACTAACAGCTAGCAATATGAAAGCTGCTAAGAGTTTTCCAGTGCCCACCAGTGTCACCAGTTTCCTCACCCAAATCATTTCAAATGTACTCTGTGGAGAATAAAATGCAAGGATTAGCACAAATGCAAAATTAGTCTGTCTACATATCAGATGGAAATCAAGTTAGAAAGAATGTGTGTGTGTGTGTGTGTGCGCGCGCGCGCGCACGCGTGTGTGTGAGTGCGCGTGCGCGCACGCACATGTCTACACATATGTTTATAAAGGACGTATTTTCAATACTGGGATAATCATAAAATTCATTTCATACCTGTGCTCCATAGATATATTTATCCAACATCTTGCCTCCTATTGTCTGCCCTCCTATATCCCAAACTTGAAGAGTAACATTCAAATTTCCTAGAATATAAAAAAATATAAAAATAAGAATACAAAAAATGTTAGGTAACAATATGACAACTGAACACAGTTTCAAAAAACACTGTGTCATGGTGAGAAATTCTGAATCCAATTTGCCTTTTATTCTGTAGGCTTATATGATCAGATATTTGAAAATCAAATCTTTATATACTTAACCACCCGGTTGCACATGTGATTTTGCTGTAGATTCTAAACTCTATGGGTTTTTAAACTCATAGAATAATGATGCACACTACAAAAATGCATGCATAATTTCAACTCAAATGAATATTTTTAATGTAAATGACAACTATTATGTGTAATAGTAAATTAAACATAGTCAAAAAATTAGTTGTTTTAAAATGTAACCCATAAAATAGAAAGGCTTTTGATGACTGTTCAGAACTACTGTAGGAAACATGCAGTATATCACTAAATGCTATAATGTATCCATACCTGTTTGAAGCATTTCCATTGAAACAAATTATATGAGCTTCCAAGCCTTCATAAAATAATGTAACTTGTTATCTTCCCCATACAAGCATATAAAAGCATTCTAAAAGGCGAACTTTAAAATTATCTTGTACATCTTGTAAAATATTTGTTTTGATTGATACAAAAGTGTAAGAAATAAACTCTTCTCTCTTATCACTGCAACTAACGAGTGAGCAAAAATAGCCAAACTATGCTTTTCAAACTATTCTCACAAAAGTATGTCATTTTCTCCAAAAATCTCAATTAGCACCTTCTGAATGATTTGCAGATCCAAAAAATCCAATATTAAAACTTAGGAACAAAAAAAAAAGTCTCACTTCATAAACAAAAAAGGATTATAAAAACATAAATTTATATACCAATGTAAAACACTAAAATCAGAGAATATTAGCCACCCATTTTAACTAAGCAAATGAGAAGAAAGTAACACAATAGATTAACCAGCAAAAAGTTTTACCCTGAGAGCAACATTTTATGAGTTTGTATTACAATCTTCCCATTAGTTCAATGTAGGTTTGTTCCATCTGCCACCATGCAGAGGAATTCTGTGAGGAACTTCCATTAGCATTAACGAGAACCACTGAAGTTTATCACTGTCATGCCCACAGACACACACTTTCAATGCTCACAGCAACCACTGAAATGTTCTTAAAGGTCTGTGAATGTGAAAATTAGAATGTCACAGACGAAGATTTGTCCAAAACCTTGTATAAACCAATTTCTTAAATATCTAAATTTTTTGAGATTCATAGTTGAAATCATTCTCCTATAATGCAGTCTCAGATTAATTGGGTGAGAAAGGGCTAGCATTCACTAGAGTTACATAAGTTTCTGAAGCCCCTAGACAAAAAGACAGTAATCTACTCATTTTACTTACAAAACTCTTTTGCTTACATCCTTTGTTAAGTCATTTGTTTACATCCAAAGATGGTGCTTAACAATGTTAACTTTTCCCTATCACTTAACCTCATATCAAGAAATTTGCCTTTTTACTTTCCTTTTCTTTTTGATATTCAGATAACAACTGAATTAGGTGTTGTAAACACTTCAACTATAACTTTAGGAATATGATCCTCATTACATGTTTCCAAATTCTGATTACAATCATAAAGGACTCTAAATCATTTATTTAATTGCCTCTCATCTAAGAGGTTCTAATTCATGTGTTGAGGGCACTTTTTAAATCCATACGTTTTCAAACACTGTTGTTGCTGTTGCTTTTTTCCCCTAATATATAGATACTAGTGACTCAAAAATAAAAACAGCTATGCATTACTGATAGTCTACTAATACAGAATGCTAGCAAAAAAAATTAATCAGTATAGCTTTAACAAATGTCTATAAGGTAGGTCTAGAAAATATATTTATAACTTCTCGTGGATTTTAGGCTAATTAACACAGTAAACTCAAAATAAATGTTAATTTTGTTCCTATTTGAGAAACAAAATCACATATAGATATAATTCAAATCAATATTCATTTTAATTTTTGCAAGCATAAATACATGAAGTCTCCTAGTATATTTTTGAGATGACATGCCTATAAAGGTATATAAGGACATTTAAATCATCAATATTAAAAATTTTTCAAAATCAAGAATCCATCTACTTTATAAACTAGCAACTAATTAGGAAAATATGGAAATTCCCGGAAATCTAATCCCAAATGCAAAATGCTATTACAAAATTCCTGCTTCTGTGTAAGAAATGACATAAAACTAGGGGAAAAAATAAAATAAATGAGGTGACAAAACACAGGTAAGTTGCTTTTGGTAGGCATCAAAGCTACCAAGAGGATTCAACAGTGACCTTGTAAAAGTACACTCGGTGCCTTGGTTAACCTTACTTAAAGTGCAGCATAGTCAAGATGGAACTAAAAACACAACTCTGCCCACTTCTTGTACTAAAGACTTAGAAATCCTTTTCACAGTAGAACGCTGTTTACTGGACTGTACCCACAAGCTTCCTGAAAGTATTTTGACTAAGGCTCTTAAGAAGCTCTATCAGCAGAATCTCTGACTAACAGATACACTATTTTAAGCAGTAAATCTGCACAGTGGTTGCATCCAGACTATACAGCATACCGGATCATGAACTATACTAAAATGGATGAGTATGTGCAAAGTAATGACCTTGAAAACTTGCATGAAGAGAATGTGAATAGATGGACAGGAGGTTAACATCCCTCACAATCTGACTGGCCAGAGAACTTACTAGACTACTGACAAATATTAGATTCACCTATTATACTTCTTTTTTATAAACTTAATAAGGCTGTACTGTTTTATTTAGCAAATTATATAAATATCCATCATCCTACATTTGACACTTGAATGAACAAATTAAAATTAGGTTTAAGGTATATACAGGATATATTATAAATCTTGCAATTTATTCACCTCATTTCTTAATATACCTATTAATTATATAAAAAGATACATTAAAATAATTTTTTCCTACTAAAATTTTGACTACAATTTTGGGTTTATTAAGCAGCAAAAAACCAATTGCCTTTAAAAAATATAGAATTTTTTTCTGGAACTCTGCCCATCAAAATAAAAACTTAATCAGGGAAATTAAAATATATAGTCATTCAGAATATACGTGCCTTAATGTCATTTTTAACTTAAGTATGTTCAAAGTATAAAATACTATGCTATAAATTTGGATTTCAAGAATATCAAATTTTTTTTTACAAAGTACTCAAAATTTTTTAATTGGTAGGACTGCGTAATATGTCAGAAATCATCACAAATATCACATATATAAAACGTCTAAAACCAGTATTTGTTTTGAACATTTGAGTAGATGCTTGTTCCTTTATTTAAGCCTTTCAATTAAAAAAAAAAACATAAAAGTTAAAACTAATAAGACAAAAAGTCAGTGCTTTTGCCAATTAGGCATCAAAACAAAATAGCTAACAACCAAATACTATATTGAGGTTCTCTGTGTACAAGAACTGGCATCTCTGAAGAAACTGTTACAAAAATAAGTTTCTAGCAAGTATATTATATGATTTGTGCATGCATTCTGCTAGGACCACTGTAAATATTCTGAAAGAAGCACTGATTACCCATAAGGGTGAGAATGAAATTACAATGACATTTTCCATTTTGAATACACTAAAACATATAAATGAAACAAAACATACAAATGTTTCTCATTAACCCTCTCCTTGAACAATAAACCACTAATGAAAAAAATGGAATTTTTTTTTCTGTATCTCCTAATTTATTTCACTGGTAGCCAAATACAAACCACCACAAAATATGATAGGGTATATTACTAATGATATATGAAAAATACCTCCAATTACCAGAGTTTTCATTTGCTGCTCTAAAACCTTCATAGGGAGTTGTCTGATAAATGGGGTGTTTGAGAGGTTAACATCTTTCAATACTTTTGGAATTTATTAAACCCCTTACTACTAAATCATTCCCATTTCAGCATATGAATCTGACAATACACTTTCAACTGTTTTATTAAAATGTGTTTCCGCATAGAGGAGAGGGATGGGCAGTTTATAAAGTCAATCAAGATAAACTGCTTTTCATAAACACTTTAAACATTTAATTTAGCCATTGAAATGGAAAAGACAGAGCATTTTAAAGCCCCAATTGTTCAGAAACTAACTTAAAACATAAACCACTCTTTTTTGTGTTATTATTTCTCTGTATTTCCCACAAAATGTGCTGCAACTGGCATCTAAATAGTTTCTTTGCATGGTGGACTGAAACATCTTGAATGCTCAAACTGTATTTTTATGAGTGCCTAGGGACCCTAAATTTTAGTGGTCTATTAAATGCCAGCAATTTCATGCTGCCTTGCATAAAACAGCATTCACATATTAGAGTACAGAAGTTCCATAGCTACATTATACTACCGTTCCAACTTTTAAACAAAAAAACTGAAGCAGAGGCAAATAGAAGTAATATTTTAAAAAATAATCCTTCCCAATCTTTTCACATTTAGTTAATACAGCATCTGTTGACAAATATACAGCACTAAATTTTTTAAAAGCTTTCTGGAATTTTATAAGCAACTGTAGTTTGTCCTTGAAAAATGTATAGTAGCCAAAAACAGTGAGGGAGTAGAAGAGTGTGTAAACTTTTTCTCACATCCAGGGACAATGTGCCTTCACGGTAGACTGTGATGAAAATTAATCTCCCTAAGATAGATTTACTGATTACATATATTTTCATGCACCAGTAGCCCCTAAATTTATTTTATACAGTTCTGGCTAATGCCACTTATTGTCAGATTGTACACTCTTGTACGTAAAGATTTTTTTAGTCTCTTACCTGGCAATGTTATCCTTCTCAAAAAGAAATCCAGTCCTATAGTTTGTTTGTACTGTTTCCCAAAAGTTTCTTGAGCAAAATAGGTAGCTAGGGAGGTCTAAAAAAATGATGCAGAGAATACCAGAATGAATTTTTGTTTAAGAAATGTAAACGTAAGACCACTATTAAATCTTATTAAGTAATCTTAACATTTATACTCCAATTAATCCAACAAGCACCTTTTTAAGCAGTTCTAATCAGCTACAAGGGAAGGATGGACTTAAATCCACCAGGTAAATTTCACTAGTCAGGAGTAATCAGTGGAGACAACAGACTACTAATCACTACGATTTCTTTAACTCTCCAGATTGTCAAATTCCTTTCTGCTAGAAATTAGAATTTGAGAATTCTCAAGGGAAAAAACAAACAACACAATTAAAGATCTTAAGCATATCAGTTCAATAAAAATTTCAGAGAACTCTAAGCTTCACTGCTGAGGTAAGTATTCTTGTGGTAGCTGTGCCCTCAGCCAATAATCAGCACTAATAAAGGAAGGGGAAATGCACTTATAGAATTTTTTCCCCCACACAAAAAAACCCATTTTAAGTGTCTAATTTTTCTCTGTATTAAAGACGTTAAAGGAAAATGATTCTATAGAATGACTATGATAATATGCATCTTTTAAATAAAGAAGTTAGTATTTTTCAAGATTAGTTCAAAGCAGGCAAAATAAATATTCTCCATCCAAGAACCATAATGCTAAAAAGTCGCAACATATTATAACCAGAAGAGATACACATTAACTTTTTTTAATAAAAACTAAAAGTTTTAGTCAGAAACTCTGAAGTTTTCTTTTAGAGTACCATTTCTCAATAAAGAAAAATCATTTTGGTAACAACTAACATAACTCAATAACTCAAAGACTTTCTAAACATTTTAGATGCATTATTTTTATTAAGTAAACTTCCCCCAAAAGGAGAGAAAGGTAGCTTCAATAAGCTTTTATGCTCTTCAAGACAGACTCCCTGCATTAGGGGAAAATAGTCCTTTTTTATTTTATAAGTCAAAATTAGAGTTCATTTCAACTCTTAAAATGAAAACTAAGATAAAATTTCCAAGATAGCTTATTATACTTCACTGACGTAAGTACAACAGTGCAAAAGAAAACTTGGCCAAACTTCAATTCCTTTTTAACAGGATGATCTAAAATTCCTTTTACACAGAATCATATTTTCACACAAATGGCAATTTGCATACCCTAACTCTAATTATTTTAGTATTTAAATGACCAGCATTTGTAATAAATACCTAAGATATCTATCTGGCCAAGTTTTTATTGAGCACCACCCTATGAAAGATGTTCTGCTAGACATTTACAAACAAAGTCGCCACCTTTGTGACATCCTTGAAGCATGTAATATCAAAACCGAGAGAACAGAAAACAGGTAAGCATTTCCTTTTAAAGACGTTTTTCATTCACCCTTAATTAAGTCACCAAGCTTGTCTAACTTAAAGCATAAAACCTGTAAAGAGTTTCAGAAACTAGAGAAAAATAACTCATTTTTATATTAAGGAATATTCAGAAAAAGTCAAAGTAAAGTCCCTTTCCTGGAAAAAGGATTTCTAGATTTTGAAAGCCTTGCCCTCACACTTTTGAGGCAAACACAAAGCTAGGATTTCCAAACTGAAGAAGATAAACTGTCAAAAGACAGGTCATTAGGAATACACAGAATATTAAAATAAGTTAGCATCTCCTAACATATCTTGATATAAAAATTGAACAGATAATTAATTGAACCAATGCGGGGGGGAGACTTCCTGTTCAATTATCTAGACTTCATGCCATCTGTCACATTCAATAATTTCTCAAGTCAGGAAACAAATGCCCTTCTTAAACAATTACAAGTATGAAGTGAACAACCAGCTACCATATCTGATATACTTTAATCGGAGTCTCAATATTTTTTGGTTTGGAAAAACTTCTGCTAACAATTTTTGGACCATACTACTTTTACTAACTCCGAAAAGACACCAAAATAGAATGTTTTGCCTCAAAAATCATCTTAAGAGAATATTTAATAGAATCAAAAGTATGACTCAGAACATGAAATAAATAGAAACACGTGTTACTAGAGGGAGGAGATAAATTTCTTTTGGAGAAACTGTTAGAGGTCATCTCAATACTCTACTGCTTCTGTCAGTGTGTACAGAAATGACCACAGTTAGAACCAGCAGGAAAAACTAATGGTAAAAAAAGCAGCCAAGAGTTAAATCAAGATACAAATAAGGGTGAAAAAGAGGCTGAGTTCACAAAAGGACAATGAAGAAAAAAGAACAAAAGCATTGGTGACTGCCAATAATTTGAGAACTGAATAGACTATGGGGGAAAAATGCTTGATATAAGAATAATGAAAGAAGGTTAGGTGTCAGATGTTTGTGTCAGAAAACTTCTTGCAGGAAAAGTTGTTGTGAATTTAAAGTAGATTAAGTCTATTTTAGTCAAGATGATGAAGACTAACAGTCCCATAAAAAAAAAAAAAATCACTATCATTCTTTGAAGTTAAATGATAGTTGTAATTGAACATGAAAGTGAAAAAAATTATGCTTTGTCCCACACTAGGCAAAAATTTTAACAGCATTGAAAGTCTAATTATTTACACCAAATGAGTAACTGGGGTAAAACATGCATGACAGACTAAATAACAAACAAATACAAAATTATGAACAAATTTCAACTGCGTAATACATACACAGCAGATAAATACTGAAAGAAAAATAAGCAAAAGTTTAAAAAACCATGATAGCAAGTAGATATGAATTAAGCTATATAGGCTGTCATTATAACTCTAAATGAAAAATAAGCTCAGTTATAAATTGAATGCAGTAAGATGTAGGAAACAAATTAGGCCCCTTTAAAGGAAAGGGTTTCAGAAACTAGAGAAAAATAACTCATTTTTATATTAAGGAATATTCAGAAAAAGTCAAAGTAAAGTCCCTTTCCTGGAAAAAGGATTTCTAGATTTTGAAAGCCTTGCCCTCACACTTGTGAGGCAAACACAAAGCTAGGATTTCCAAACTGAAGAAGATAAACTGATAAGAAAACTATTAAAAAATCTATCTTAAACTTTTTATTGAATAAAAACAATGCTGTTAGAAACAATGCTGCTTTATTTATAACAATTCACTCATTAAAGTTTAAGTGTACAAAAATTCATATGACACTTTATAAAGAAAAGTGACCCCAAGATATTTTCTTCCTCAAAGTGTTTAAAGATAATCACAGCATGCTGTTTTCCTTGGCAATAAAAAACCAATGACAAAGGACCCAGAAAGACAAGAAAGAAGCCGCAGAATGCTCCGAATTCTGCACCAGCATGACACCTTTCCCAGGTGCCCTCGAAACGCAAACGTTCAGTGCCTCCTGCCAGCAATGATGCAAAGAGAAGGGGACGCCACAGAAACCAGGGTCCAGACTACGACCAGCAACGTGGAAACGCGAAGCAGAAAACAGGACACGGGCAACATAACAACCTGCGTCTCTGAAGAGGAAGGTGGGGAAAAGAAGGAGAGGGAAGCGAGACAGACTTCAGCTCAGAAAGTGTCGACCCTTCGACGGGCACCGACGTAGGAAGGCACCCGGGCAGACTCTCCACGCGGCCGGGAGGGAGAGGCCCAAGCCTCCTCCAAGACCTCGTGGCCCCCCTCCCTCGAGCGAGTGCCAGGCACTGCCACCCCATTTCAGGAGAGCCACGACCCTGGGTTAGGAAGCCCTGCCTAGGAGACATGGGCACGGACTGGGTGGGGCCTGGCAGTCTCCCTCGGCCGTCTCCAGGGGCTAGACTTCAAGGCAGGACCCCCTGGGTCAGGCTGGCCACTCTGCCCTCAGCCATCAACCCCGGACCGGAGCTCCACAAGCATCTGCTGCCTGACTGCTGGCACTAGCAGGTGCGGTGTGGGGAACAAAGGCAAGGGGCAGGTAGGCTACCGAAGTAGCAACTCGTGCTTGTGGCATGCACTGTCTTCTACGCTCTGCAGGCGTATTTCCACATGTAACGTGTGTTTTTACATGTCTCCCTCGCAGCGCCCCTGCCAGTGCCCCCTTGCAGGCGAAGCACAGGTGGGTGAGCCATCTGCCCTCGGTGCCCCGGCCGCTGGGCGTCGGAGCCCGAGTTCCCGCCCAGGCAATCCGAGGGCAGCTCGCCACAAAAACGGCGAAGGGAGGGCGGGGGAGGGGCGAAAGTGTGGCCAGGGCTGCGAGTCGAGGAGGCCGGAGGATGCCGGGCAGATCCCCGCCAGTTCGGAGGGGCGAGACGCCGCAAAGCTCCCCAGGGAGGCTCCACGCCGGTCCGCATGTTGCAGAAGTCCGGGACCAGGCAGGGAATTGGGAAGCGACTTGTCTTTCTGTTTCTGTGGTGCTGCGTTTGCTTCCAAGGGCGTGCCGGGCGGCTCTCGCCAGCCC